TATACTTGGAAATCTCTCAGGTACCTCTAGCTCAACGTGTCTAAAACTGATTTCTTTATTTTCTTCTCCCCCAACCTCGTTCCAGTCTTCCCTGCTTCTGTAAAGAGCATCCTTCTATCTGAGTTGCACAAGTGAGAAATCTGGGAATCATCCTTTACATTGCCCTTTCCTTTACCTCCTTCTTCCACAACCAGTCAATCACTAATCCTACCAACTCCATTTCTCAGTATCTCTCAAGCATATCCATTTATCTATACTCCTTATGCCACTATCCCTATTGTTCAAACCACTATTATTTCTTGCCTTGACTACTGCAACATCCTCCTAACTTCGCACTTCTCAAACTTTTTCATGGCATGACACAGGTAGAAAATGGTAATATTGTAAGATACTCCGGGATGAACTGGAAAGGATTTGGAGGTATCTATTTGGAGCTTTATTTTAAAAATTATTGCTTTTCTCATGCTATGTAATTTTGAAAAATAAATAAATACAAAGTATTAGAGACAATGTTAAACACTGAATTTGTATAAATATCAAATATAGTTTTCAAAATATTAATAAGAATTTTTAATAAACTTTCCTTTATAAATAAATTTTTAATGTAAGATTTTATACTTGAAACACCTACTATCAATTCCTGATCAAGACTTTTTAAGGTTGATCTCTTCAAATTCTTACAGTAATCATCAAAAAGAAACTTTGTTCACACAAGGAAACCAAAAAAATGCTTAAATACTTTTACAACCATTTTAAAATTTACAACAGTTGAAATCATATTTAAAGACTCTAACAGCTCTTCTTCTTCTTTAAATGGCCAATGTAATGTTCAAATTTCTTGTGATATTATGAATGGATTTTGAAACCAGTTCAACTTTTTCATATCAAGTATTTCAAAATCAATGATGGAAATTTTATCTGCAGGACACATGGCACCACCAAAGCAGTTACCCTGCAGCTAGCTTGGTTGAGGCGGAAAAAAGGAACATTAGCTGCAAACAGAAGTTTCAGCTATACACAATGTCAGAGAATGCCCTGAAGCTGCACCTGCCAGAAGCCTCTACTCCACTTTCGCAGGCCTACTCTTACTAGCCACATTGTTGGTACCTGGAACACAAATCCTTCCAGCAGCTCCATGGGCTGCAAAAGACCTAAGATGAAGATGTGGGGAGTAGAACATTTGGAATGAACTCAAATATCAAAGAAATGCAGGAATTTGGGGAGCTGCTCTCCAGCAGTGTCACTGAATTGCTAAGGGGTTGGCTATCCTCTGTGTACTGCAGTTTTGAATATAGTACAGCAGAAAACTATTTCTGAACTTCCTGGAAAGAATAATATTTGATTGAGTTGGGCTAGTTTGGTTCTGGGACAAGCAGTAAAGACAGCACTTTCTAGGTATAGAGCTCAACCTGAATAGACATATGAATAATGAACATTTGTTGACTGTATACCCAGCAACCATTCCCTGCTTTGCCCTTCCTAAGAGTCTTCAGATTTTTCTTGTAGTTAGCAGCTCCTCCTTCTCAAAGTCCATGTTTTCTCAGTCCTGGATCTAAACTAAACAAGATATTTGCAACCTGAAATCTCCTGTCCCCCATTCCTCACTCAAGGGTACAGTTGTCAAGGGCTTTTGAAAAAGAAAGTTCTCTGCTCTTCTGAGATAGCTACCAAGAGATGCTCTCTGTCATTGTACTGGACAGTGTGACATATATGAAAAATGAAACTGCTGGAGCATGCGTTCTCAATGGGGATGATATCACCTCCAAGGCGGTGAAAATTAAGGAGAGAAAAAAACAACACTTTTTATGTATAAAGCATAAATATGCATACAGTACATAAACAGATATACAGTATATCCGTGGTATTAAAACTTTGGGAAGGCATTTAAAACAACCTTAAAAGGCTCCTGGAGCCGGGGGGCAATAATGAAAACAAAAGTTGAGAAACACTGTTCTAGAGCAATGGCACATACCACAAAAGGCAGAAGACAATGGAAACTCAATTTTTGATGCTAACATTAAGTTTATGAATCAAAAGACACCTGAAGCCTCTTCTACCTCTTGACTTTCCACTTAACTAAGCCAATAAATCCCCTTTATTGTTTAAACTATTATGTGTTGAGTTTCCTGTTACTTATAACAAAAGTGATATTGACTGATAAAATAGGAAACACTTTATCTAAAGTTAATCTAAATGTATTACACACGCCAATGCAACAGAACTTTAAAGTGGAACTATTTTAATCTGTTTCTGCTAAGTCTCCATGAAAACAGGTGCCAGGTGTCCTTATATCCAAAATGAGGCAAATAGGATGAGAATCCCATTTAGAACATTCAGAGATGTTGGGAAATGGATTTTGAAACTCTTGGCCCTCATCCCCTGGATAGTATAAAAGTGTTAAAATTGAAGACAGAGTTGAAGGTTAGAGTAGTTATTAGGACATTAACATGAGGGTGGGTGGTGGAGAGTGATCAAACTGGGAGGCACTTAAAGACCACTTAAATAGCTTGATATGTATCTCTGGAAATTTGTAGAGACACAATAGACTGGTGACTGAAGTTGACACGAAATTGTGATGTCCAAGCTTCCATCCTTAACTCATGAAAGCTGAAGAAGTTAAAGGGGATGCAAAGTCAAAACTGGGGTGAACTAAAATGGGTTCAGCTCCCTTCCCTCATTTCTCTGGATTCAAACTGTATTACTTAGGATTCTTTGATTGCAAGTGACAAAAATACAACTCGAATCAGCTTAAATGAAAAAATGGGAATTTACCAGCTCACATAATCAATCACAGAATGGAAGAGGTAGACTGCATTTGGGGGATGACTGGATCCACAGACATGAACATTGCTGGGACTTTATTATCAGAAGCTAGTGAAAAGGCACCATGCAGACCAAAAAAAGGGTGGTCTGCAAGCAAATAGGACAAGAATTGATTTTAAACTAGTATCAATATCAGAAGTCCAAATCAGTGGATAAAACACAAAAGCAGAAGTATTGGGGTAGACGGTCAAAATCATGCAGGAAATCCACTTTGAAATGCATTCAATCAAAAAAGATAAATGTATGTTTGTATGGGTGGATGGACTGATGGACAGGTATATGATAAAGCAAGTATACTAGAATGTTAATGGTAGAATATTGTTGCTAAGTATATAGGTGTTCACTGTAAAATTCTTTCAACTTTTGTATGTTTGATACTTTTCATAAAATGTTGTGGGAACATCAAGCAGGAGAACAACATCAGGGCTGTAGTGATTAGTCCCTTCTCAGCAGGATTCTAGTCCTAAACTGAAGGTATACAAAACAGACCTTGCACTCCAGGGAAACGAAGGACTGACAAAAGCTATTCATTCATCTGGAATATATAACAACTATTTCTTGAGTTCCCACTTGGTAGCATCCACTGTATTAACATCAAGGTGGTAAAGAGAAATCAGATACGACCCGCAGAGTGACAGCACAAGGTTAAGAGGTGACCATCCTAGTTTGGGAATTCGAGTAGAGAAATGACAGATAAAAATGGTTATCCCATTGACTTAATCTGGTTCTATTTGGTTATCAGTGCCCTAACCATCGTTTTACATGCAGAAATAAAGCCCTGATTTCCCACTTGGACAACTGAGTAGATGATGGGATCCTTCACGAAGACAGAAAATGCGCACGGAAGAACGTATTTGTGGTGGGTGGTAACTTCAATTTTTTTTTGGAATCTTCAAGTTTTGGTGTTTATGTTATATCTAAATAGAGATGTCCAATAAGTCCAGAATTCATGAAAAATTTGAGTATTGGGAGAGACTGGGAGTTATCATCATATAAGCAGTATAGGTGGTCAAGATCTTGGGTAAGATCATCCAGAGAGTGTACAGTGAAAAGAAATTATTCTTTCTTTCATTCTTTTATCCATTCACCAAACTATCATTGAGTGTTACTAGAACCATGAATGAAGAAAGACAATGTATTCCAGGAGTTCATAACCTCTTGATCGCCAAGTCAAATGACCTATTTGCTAACCCAAATGTGTTTAACTTACTTCTGCACAGCATTTATTTGGTTGGCTGCTCTTTAACAAGAAAGCTCTCCTCCAGTGATATTTGGATCATCATTCCCCTCACTATCTCCCTATCTGTTCCTTTTTGGTCTCTTACAGATTCAGATTTTGACATTCACAGGCTTTCATCTTGGGTCCTTAAACCTTCATTTAGAACTCCAATTTTCCCAGTTAGTCTTCAGGTCAAACCGACTAAATAAAAACTAACATTTAGTTTAAAACTAAAAACTGTGTTGATAGCACAACACAGGCAATACTATCCGGAGATATACTGACAGGTTCTACCAGCTTGTGAGAATCATACTTGTTTTAACCTCTCTGAGCCTAATTTCTCATGTCCTGAAAATGGAAAAAATATATATTATTTTGCAAGGCCTTTGTTAATGATTAAATTATAAATGCACGGCATCTAGCACAGTGCTCTGCACTCGATACGTACTGTTAAAATAACCCATAACTTCAGATGAACACAAATTATGCCAAATTACAAATATCTCCCTTACCTAATATTAACTTCTATTCGTGAGCACTCAGCCTTCGTAGTGTTATTCAGGTTACATGCAGTGGCTCGCTCTGTATCATTTGCTTTAGAATCTGATAGCGTCAAAGTAACAATAGCAACCTGGCTCAAAGTAACAGTAGCAACCGCTTCCTTCCATATACCATATTGAGGGAAACACATTTTCCAAGGCTTCTTAAAGAAACAGTTCTGCTTAGCTTACTTTTAGCTTAGCTGAAAACTAAGCTTCGTCACAAAAACTCAGTCCAACACCACCCCGTCCGTCTGCAGGTCTCTGAGAGAAGAGGAAGCGGGGCCTTAACGTAGTTCACGAAGCAAAGTTAAAAACGTAGCTTTTATCTTTCCCGCGGGTTGCTCAAGCACCAACCGCACCGATATCCCGTCGTCCTCCGCGCCACTTCCGTTCGCGCATTTTAATTACGACACTTCGTCAGCTCTCGCGGTATCATCCGGTTGCTGAGGCCCTTTAACAAAGATCTCGCGAAATTTGTTCTACAGGCCCAAGATAGCCTGTCACCCTCCCCTACCACACCCCCAACCTGTCCTTCCTTTCTCTGACTCAATCACAAAATTCTCCCCTCCCCTCCCTTGAGCTCACGGCCCTCCTCCTGTTTCCGATTTCAGGCCGGAACCGGAAGTCTAGTGGGCGGGGCCCGGCGGCGGAAAACGCAGCGGAGCCGGAGCCGGGACTCGGCTGTGGCCGCTACCTCTGTCCCCGCCACGGATCGCCGTGGCTCCAGGCTGAAGGTCGGTCCGGAGGCGGGTGGGCGCGGGTCTCCCCCGGAGTGTCCGGGCGGCAGCCTCCCCGGGCCCCCCGGGCTCCACAAGGGATCATGTCTACAGCCTCCGCAGCTTCCTCCTCCTCCTCGTCTTCAGCCGGTGAGATGATCGAAGCCCCCACCCAAGTCCTCAACTTTGAAGAGATCGACTACAAGGAGATCGAGGTGGAAGAGGTGAGCGAGGCCTGGCACGGGGCTCCGGCCCCGGCCTGTCCCCGCCTCTGCCTGGTCCCGACTCTTAAGGCGCCTCCCCGGCCCCTCTGATCCTCTGGGCCCCGCAGGGTCCACCTCGGAGTCCCCACAGAGACCGGGTATAGAGGGAACTCTCCGCGTTCAGCTGCTCCCCGGTAGCTCTCTTTTTTCCTCACTTCGGCACTCTTGAGTTTGGATTTGATATTCTGGTGCCTGGATTTGGGTCATCTCAAACAGGAGGATGGACTGGTGAGGTAGTGTGGTCCACCAGTTCCCATGTCTCTAAGTAGTAAATTCGTCAAAGACCGTGGCCGTTTTGGAGTTTCAGCTCACTACGACGTGGTGTTCTTAAGGACCAAGGATTGTATTCTCTTCGACTCCTAGCTCGGTGCCTAGAACGTAGTGGATGCTCAATAAGTGTTTGGTAAATTAGCACATCACCATGTCTAGTAAAGTGTTTCCCCGGGTACCGAACGGTTCTGTTTCGCTGTTTCCTTAGAGCAGTAGCTGTAATATTAAATGTTCTGCCATCAGTTGGACTAATTTAGATGAATTTCACCATTAATAATGTAGACTGGTCTAGAAGGAAAGATGTCTCGAATAGCATATTCTGAAGAGCCAACTAATGATTTCGGTGACAACCAGAACATAACAGACAGAAATCGCTGTTAGAAAATCCGAATCCATCCTTAAGTTATTTTAGAGCAAAGTAATATGTGCCTTTAATACGTCCCTTCTTTTCAGTTTCACAGAGAAGTAGATTGTTTCTAAGGACCATAAAATTTAGAAAAGTAAAAACTATATGTTTTAAAGATACACTTCAGAAAGTGTTAAAACTTTGGTTGAAAATAGTATCTATCAGTTACCATTTATTTATCATTTTTAAAATATATTAAGCACTTTACATAACGTATGCCATAAAGAACCCTGTATGTTCTCTTTTGTAGACTCTCAAAGAGTTACCTCTACTTTAAAAGTCCAAAATTATTTTTAGGTAGTGGCAAACTAAAAGTAATGGGATAGTTATCATTCAATAAATAAATTTTTTTCTATGCAGGTTTTGGAAGAATAATGGATTACTCAGTCGTATTTTTTTATTGCATAAAGTAACCTTAGAGATCACTGAGAACAACCTCATTTTACAAGGTAGTGTAAGTGGGAAGAGTGAGCCCTTTAAAGTTAAAGGAAGGTTCAGAATATCAGCTATGCCACTTACTAGCTGTGTGATTTGGAGCAAGGTTCCTAACTAACCCCTTTGAGCCTTAGTTTCCATAACTGTAAAATAGGGATAATAATTTCTATTTCATTTTATGTGTATAATAGATCCTATTAGGCAATATGTGCAAAACACAGTGCCTGACACATATTACTAGGAAACAGTTCCAGAGAGGAACATTTACCTGCTTTAAGGTCACATGGCTAAAAGAAGGACCTGTGTTTTGAAAAGAGGGGGCAATGTGTGTGTGTGTGTGTGTGTGTGTGTGTGTGTTTTCTATTGAGGCTAAATTCTATTGAGGATAAATTCCTTTTTCAGAAGTGGATAGTTGATCCAGCTTTCATGGCTAACATTCTTTCTTTTTTAAGAATAAAAATTCAGTGAGTCAGTATAAAAGAATTGCAGTTTTTAAATAAGCATTTACGTCTACTCTGTGGCGAACTGCTGTCTTGTAGACTACAAATTGTTATATAATAATAACTTGTGCTTCATAGTCTACCAAATGCTTTCACAGACTTACATCATTTGAGTCTTACAAGGTTGGTTTTCCACACACTACTTTCTAAAGCATTTACCTTCTTGCTTCTTGGAAGAATGAAAGTTACTAAGGAGACAATTATCATTTTGTTTGCTCTTCCACCAAAGCCATTTAACTTCTGATTAGATTTTTATGTTTCCAAAGACCCTCTTTCAGTTTAGACAATGTTTCAACCGGTCTTTGGTATATTTAGGACATTCCTGGGGAGTAGATTTTTGGTTTTAGATGAAAATTTCTAATATTAGACAGTCATTTAGCTGTGTTTTTTTCATTTTTTAATGCCAGTTTATTTTCACTTTAAAGATTGAATTTGGATCTTTCTGATGTTGAGACTATTACATAATTTCCATCATCATTTGCATACATTAAAACAGTGTTATATAATCCAGGGTTCACCGTGGGCACTCAGTAACTATTTCTCAACTTAGAATCTGCTTCTAGGTTAAAATCATGAATGAGAGAATAGAGGAAGATGACCAGAAACAAAAAGTATTTTACAAGGTTTGCAGTATTTTGTATGGTACAAATATATTGCCTATAAATAAAGAAAATTGTATTCTGTATTTTTCAGATAACAATGTAATTGAATCAGCGTTATATCAATTCAGTTAGAAACTATGTAAGAAAAAGACTGCAACCACAGACCAAATATGCAGTCATTTGGTAGATGCATATTTTTTAGGCATCAGCTGATTTTAATCCTTAAATTCCTAATGTTGTGACTCAGTAATATCAGCATGACACTTCCTAAATTCAGTTCTGATATCCAATTATGTAAGGTCTCAGCCTCAGAAACATACGTAGATTTTTTTTTTTTTAAATCATTTAGTTTTTACCATTCTGGATCAGAGTGTAGAAAATGTTAGAATAAATTGTAAGGTATGTACATTGGGGACTAGGTTGCAAGAAGTGGTAAGGGCAGTGTGGAGTGGTGAAAAGTGTACTGGGCTGGATATTTAGAAAATGTAGATGCTGTACTGATTCTGCCATAATATATTTCAGTAACTTGGAGCAAGGCACTTCAATTTTCTGGGTCTCTGATTTCTCACATAAAATGAGGGATTGAAGAAGATCATTTAAGGTCTCTTCCAGTTCTAAAATGAAAACACATTTATTGTTTGCTGTATTTATGCTCTATTTCCACAGTAAACTTTGACAGTGATCGTGATCTCCTGTGGAATGTAGTTGGTGACCAACTAATCCTGGTTAGGCAGGGCAAATGGTATCCCCATTTTGCAGATCTTGACAAGGGGTCAGAGTTTGATTTGCCAAATCCTCACGCCTAAGTAAATGGTAGAGCTGGGAATTGGACTTGAGATTTCTCACTTCTGAGTCATTTGCTCTTTCCACTGGATTTATTTACAGTGTTGTTTTAGTTTTTTCTGAAATATTTTATAACCAAACCTTATTTTGAGAATGGGGAAACAAAATACTGATTTCCTTTATAGTAGTTAGTTCTGAGCATTTAATGAATAGTCTCCTCAGTGCACAATACTGCTTAGGTACTGTGGAAGATGAATAGAAGAATTCTAGGATTCTCTCCTTAAAATTTTGACTTATTGTGAGACTAGAATAAACACAGAGCAGTTAATAATTGCATTTTCAGAACCACAAATGTAAAACTATGAATATAATGTAAATTGAGCCCTTAAGCCGTAATAGAGTTAATCACAGAAGGTTCCATTGAGTGGAAAAGAGTTTAAAACTAGATTGTGAATAAAGTAAGCATCACAGATTAGGAAGGGCACTAAGAAGAATTGTCTTTGCAGTTGTTCCTCTGCCTAGAATGCTCTTTACCCCAGAACTTCGCATGGCTGGCTTCTTCTCACCATCCAAGTCCCACCTCAGATATTACTTCCTTAGAGAAGCATTCCCTGAGCAACCTAGATCTTTGTCACTTCTCTTATCCTTCATGGCACTTACCAGTAACCAAAATTGTGTCTCCCCCAGCAAAATGTAAGGTGCCATATTCACACTTGTAACTCCAATGCCTAGCACCTGGAAGGTTTTTGTATAAATATTTGTTGAACCAGTAAATGAAGTTATCACAGCATAATCATGAGAATTTAGTTCCCATCTGGTTCTCTTATATTACATGTGATAAAACCAGAGGTTAAGATAAATTAGTAATTTGGCTAAGGCAGCATTTACACTAGAAATGAAATTTAATTCTCTTTCCAAATGTTGATTCCATTATAATGGAGATTATACTGAGCAAATACTTTTGTTTAGCAGGGCTAAAAGATGCTGTTAAGGATCAGATGCTATGAGTAAGCTATGTATTGGTGGGCCTTTACTAAAATGCTAAAAAGACCCTATTTGGCGTGGTTGCTTTTTAAAAGGGAGACCCCCAATGTTGACCTCAAGTGTAGCATAAGAGCAAAGCACATATAATCATTGCAGCATTTATATATTCTTAAGCTTCATTATAGAGGCACAAAGATTTTGTTTTAAAGGGAAATGAAGAAAGAACTTTGGCAGTGATGTATATTTTGTAGTTTTAGGTTATAGGTGTATGGGCAACTGATAATAGAGAAAAACCTCATTTGTAGCAGCCTGAATAAACTGAGTCCATAGATTTCTTAGTCAGTATTTAATTATAGATATCCAAAATTATTAATAAACTCTTCCATGTGAAATATAGTGATCATTAGTTTCAGTAGAAATCTGGAATTATCACAATGAAGAGGTAGACACAGCGATAATTTTTATATTGTGCATGTGTAGCTTAAAAGATGACAAGGGCATATTATTTGAAAGAAAGGCCTATTAAATGGGTCAGATGTCTTATGACAGACTTTAAAAGACTACATGAAAAATTCAAAAGAAAGTTTGAATAATCAAAGCTTTACTTTTGTGTTATCAAATCTGTCTTGTCAGCAGATGGCAGTTCTACTCTGCCACAGTTTATTAATAGATATTGAAGTTCTGAAATAGTTGGAGGCTCCAAGTTCTAACTAATAAATGTAAGATCTATGCTTGTTCTGTCATGTTCCAAATTTCTAGCCAAAGCAATGGCAGCATAGCCAGGGTCTGCTCACATAGTCCACAGAACAGGGCCAAACCAAACTGACAGCTATAGTCACTAAACTAAAAATAACATGAATTGGGGACAATTAAGAATTATTTCATAGTAAATTAAGAGCGTGAGGGCATAAATCCATTTAGTTTATTTTATGTTGTTTTTGTTTTTAATAATTTGACTTGGATGTAGGAATGGAGTAGCCT